GGTTTGTGTATGTTTGTTTGTGGTCTGTTTGTTGTGTATGTGTGGTTGTTGTGTATGTGTGTTCGTGTGTCTGGTTCGTGTGTATGGTGTGTTGTGTGTTGTTTGTGTGTCATGTGTGTTGTGAGTCTGATTGTTTGTCTGTGTGTTGTGTGTCGGTTTGTGAGGTTTGTGTGTTGTGTGTCGTTAGTGTGGATGTGTGTTGCTGTCGTATGTTTGTGGTGTATGTGTGTTGTTTGTCTGTTTGTGGGTATGTGTGTTTGTGTGTATGTGGGTGTGGGGGAGGTGTGGGTGGTGTGGGGCACGTGTGTGTGTATTGGGTGGATGAGTGGGAGTGGTTGTGGGGGTGGGTGTGTGGTTTTGTGGGATGGTGTGGGAGTGTGGGTAGGGTGTGTGGTTGTGGGTGTGTGGTGTGGAGGGTGTGTGGTGTGTGGGTGTGTGGTGTGTGGGTGTGTGGGTGCTGGGTGTGTGGTGTCGTGGGTGTGTGGAGTGAGGGGTGTTGAGGTGTTTGGGTGTGTGGTGTGTGGAGTGTTTGGTGTGTGGGAGTGTGGTGTGTGGGTGTGTTGGTGGAGGGTTGTGTGGTGATGGTACTACCGTGTGTGGTGTGTGGTGTGTGGTGTGAGGGTGTGTTGGTGTGTGGGAGTAGTGGTGTGTGGGTGTGTGGTGTTGGGGGTGTGTGGTGTGTGGGTGTGTGGTGTGTGGGTGGTGTGGAGTGTGGTGTGTGGGGTGTTGGGGTGTTGGTGGGTGTGTGGTGTTGGGTGTTGTGTGTGGGTGTGTGGTGTGTGGGAGGTGTGTGGGTGTGTGGTGTGTGGGTGTTGGTGTGTGGGTGTGTGGTGTGTGGGTGTGGTGGGTGGGTGTGTTGGTGTTGGGTGGGGTGATCGGTGTTGTGGGTGTAGTGGTGTGTGGTGTGTGGGGTGTGTGTGTGGTGTGTGAGTGTGGGGTGGTGTGAGTGTGTGGGTGTGTGGTGTTGTGGGTGTGTGGTGTCGGGTGTGTTGGTGTGTGGGTGTGTGTGTGTGTGGGGGTGTGGTGAAATTCAGTTCTTAAAATATTTATTTACTACATAAACTGCCTATCTATTCAATGTTCAACCTTTTTTCTTTAAAATGTCTGTTACTATTTACCAGACCTTCGGCTATCATCTTCGTTAATTTAGCCTTTCTTCACTAACAGTACACCAAAAATTAACCTAACAAGCTTACAGTGAACTACATAAATTCGAACATTGAACACTAACCTGCAGTTCCATTTTGGACAACATTCTCCCTCTGATATATATTCTAAACACCCAGGATAAGGCTCACCACTTTTTGTACTCTGTTTTCTTCATTATTATTCCCTTTTCTGTACATAATGAAACTAAACAAGGATCCTCAGCGCTCCATTCGCTTTTCATTTCGTGGTAGTTACGATCACTGTCAAGATACCAACTTAAAAAAAAAATATTCCTAGAAAAGAGCCAATTACAGTATTCCTATTTATATTTACGTGTCCCCTTTAGCTGCAATAGTTTAACTACCCAAATCTCTTAAGGAAAAAACAGAACTACTAGGTACAAGTTCAACAATATAAAGCCTAACTACGGTAAAGATAAACTAAGAATACAATGCACTAACCTGCATTTCCATTCAGCACAGCACGAGTCTTCGGGAGTTTCCCTTAGGCAACTAGGATGAGGTGCAGGACCAAGAGTGCAAGTCTCCTTCAGTACCTGAACACCATCCCTTGTGCAAACGTGTGTTGTGCACGAGTCTGTCTTCCACGTATCATACAATGGATGTTCACCAGTGTCGTCTATGCAGCCACTAGAAAATTTGCAGAGGTACATGTACAAAGGCATATAATTTAATGCTTATTTTAGAGCAAGAGTATTTTTCTTGGCGAAATATAGAACGTTAGCTTGACGCTGAATTACTGTCAAACTAGTACGAACACTAACTTGCAAAAGGTGAAAATTAGCATTTGGGGAACTTAACACTGTAAACATTAATAGAATGCTGTGTAAAAACGTTTTTTGCTAATTATAGTTTCACTAATTGTAGAATTGTGAATTATTCACAAGATGTGAATATATTGTATTATATTGTATAAACTTCTTAGCAGGTGGGCCAGTATTCTGGAAATAACTTTTGTCACCCTAGTTGGTATTTTTTGTGGATGCGACCTCTCTTGACCCTATTAGAACGAGTTCATCGATACCTATGTGATTGATAGGATGAGGGACGTTTTCTCTCCTAAGCTAGTTAGTGTATTGGGGGTGGGACTCGAGCCTGACCCTGGACGCTCTTGTATACAGAACATTGCATCTCTAAGCTTTTACGTTTTGAGTGTTGTTCTAGATATGGACGTCAGGAATAGAATTTGTGCCTAGATATTGTGGTATGTGGGATTTTATCCACCATTAGAGAATATGGTGATCTATATTGCTTTTCCACATGTACCAAACTGTTGGCTGCTATTCTGTGCTGGTTAGATAATGTAGGGTGTCATGCGATTTACTTTTAACATGCAATATATTCATGTCTAATATACTAGTGTTCATGTCTGATATGCAAAGCATAGTCAGAATTTGTTTAACTAGTATTGTACAGAAGTCAGTTAGCCTGTATTATAATAAAAAAGAAGCGCTAAACCACGAGGGCTATACAGCGCTGCAGGGCAGGAAGGAAGCGAGGGCATCAGGTGGCAAAAGGGAGAGGGATGATTAGTAGGTTACAGAGAACAGCGGAGCAGTGGATAGTGCAAGGGTAGAGGGTAGCAAGCGATTGAGGTAGAAAGGGCTGAGGGAAGAACCAGGTACAGATACTGGAAAGATAAAATGTGGAGGTGGAAGAAGGGAAGGAGGGGTTAAAGGAGATTTGAGCAATGAGGATTTCTTGGACTTTTGAGAAGTAGAGGGGCGATTGGGAGGAGGTGTTGTACGAGGTCTTGTCGATACCGGGGCTTGTGAAGGAGAACACGAAGATGCGAGAGCAGACTGAGGTGTTGAAGTAGGGACTTTGAGCCCAGAACAGCAAAAGTATTAGAGACAGGAGTGACTATGGGAGGGGTAACCACAGAGGTGGTTGCAGAAGATGGAATCCTAGAAGTGAGGGGACGTTTAGAAACACGAGAATAAGAAATACGGGGTAATCTCCTTTGGAGGCATAGATGAGAAACTGCCATAGCATAAGGGAGACCTTCCGTCTCTTTGAGGCAACGGATTTCCCGCTCATTAAAGTAGACCTGGCAACGGCGAGAGTAGGAAGGGCGAGCCTCATGACAATTAAGACAAGAGGCAGGTCGGCTACAAGACACATTAGAATGGTCATCGGTACCACAGACTGGTCATTCGGCTATAGATCTGCAATATTTCGCTGGGTGACCAAATCGCCAGCAATTTCTACACTGTTGCGGTGTAGGGATCACCTTTCGAACTTGTCACCATGTCCTGTTACATAAACAGAGGATGGGAGTTCATGGCTGTCAAAAGTTAATCGAGCCACATTGCAAGGGTATCGTCTCCGCCCGAGGGCAGGAAGGACGCAAGTGTCTACTTTCAGGATTGGGAGATCTTGGAGTTCCAGCTGTTCGAGAATGCCATTGCCACGTCTGGAAATTCTGTTGGACTATGGCATGGGGCAGAATGACAGTACCACTACAAGAATTGAGGGAATGATGTTTTTTCAATAGTGACAGGAATAGTATCGATGTGTGAAAGAAGAGAAAGATCATGAGCTTGGGTAGCATTCTGGACAGTGATGATGCGCGTACCACTCTTGAGAGCATGAATGGAAATATATCTAACAATATGGCATAGGAGCGCCATGTCAATGCTATGGTCGGAAAGATAGGTAATAGAGGAAGTCGGTCATAAAGTAAAGAATTTAGTCCATCGTGCAGTCCGAAAATGAGCGTGGAAAGGGAGTGCATGACGTGTCTGTCTTTTCTGAGTAGAACGGGAAGGTGGCGAAGTATCATCAGGCAATTGATGTTGGTGTTTAGAAGTGGGACCAGAGTTGGTCCGACGTGGGATGGGCTGGCAATTTGAAAATTGCCGCACCGTAGAGGGAGAGGCCAGTAGCATTATCAAAGGAGGGCGGAGGTCAGACAAATCGAGGGAGTCAGTCGAGACCCCGGTAACTGAAGCGAGTGATGAAACAGCACCAGCAAGAGGCACAGGGGCATCAGGAGTGTCCAAAGAGTGGTCAAAAAACGAGGCAGGGTCAGAACAGGGTGCGGTATCAAGAAGGGGCCCGGTGGTAGTAGGATCATGGACTGGGTCTTCCATGGTTAGGTTCTTTCTTTTTGTTTTTAAGAAAAAAGAAAAAGAAATAAAAAGAAAGAAAATAAAATAAAAAAGAATAAAAAAAGGGGGGAATGGGGAGGAATAGTTCCTAGGATGAATGAAAGGGCCGGAAATCTCCCTCCGCGCCCAAGAGGACCTCAGCACCGCAAGTAGCGCAGATGCGGCGTGGAACCCATGCCATACCCTACCCATCATGCCAGTAAACCAGCAATCCGGGATAGCAACCTCACATCTGCCGAGCTACCTCCACGGACAAAAGAGAGGGCGGCTGGATATCTGCCACAAAGCATACCTCCTTTGGCCACCACCCCCGGAATCCGAAAGGCGGCTTCCAGAGATACACCCGTCGCCCGAAAGACACCCAAAGCTACCCCACGGGAGACCGGAGAGGGATCGGGATATCCCCAGGAGATCCAGATTCCACGGCAAACTACACCATCGCCTAGAACCTCAATGGAATGGGATGGGATGGGATGGGCCCCGGTGCCCTTCCCCCTACCTAGGAACTAGCATGCCTGTGGGAAGAATTCCAAAGGCCAAAAAGAGGAAGGGAATTAGGGAGGGACGGAGAGGACGACGACATGAGAAAGGGAGGATGAGATAGGGACGGGGGGAGTAGGTGGGCAATTAGGTTCGGTCTGAGGAAGGAGACCAACAGGTCTAATTCCTCAGACCAAGAGCCTCTTCACCACGCCAAGGAAACCCCCTTGAAAAGGAGTTATCCTGTAGACCACGATTTATGCTTAATGTTAATGCCTGTATTATTTCGTATAAAGTTACTCCCAGTCTTTATACTAACTAAACATTTATGCTGGTATTCTGATATCAAATAATATCTAGGTAGGTGAAAAAGACTAAATATCCGAATCCGAGACCGGTTCATCTTTCAGTAGTAAAATTATACAATAAGCGGAATACTATGACCAGAATGCAAGTTATTAATAATTTGAATGTTGGCTTTCAATAACTACATGAACGTAATACACTACTTATCCAGTTATACGAAATCCTTACCTGCAGTTCCACCTTGGGCAGCACTCTCCCTGGGCTTTATATTCATAACAATGAGGATAAAGCGACGGAGTACGTGTGCATTTTAAGCGTTTCATTATTATCCCTTCATCAGAACACAGGAACATTAAACATGGGTCTTTCATGCTCCATTCATCGTCTATTTCATGATAATTTCCACTGACATCAAAGCAGCCCCTGGAACAGTAACAGGTTAACTTAAAAAAAAAAAAAAGGTTACAAAACCCAAAGAATCGTAGCTATATTATTATAATCAAGGGGGAAGCGCTAAACCCGGAGGATTATACAATGCCTGGGGGGGATGTGGAAGGCATTCAGGCTTAATTCGGGGAACTGGAGCACAGATCCAATTCCCTAAATCAAGAGCCCCTCACCAACATCAAGGAACCTTCCTTGAGGGGAATCGTAACTATAAAATTTAAGCATTAATGAGCCGTCAGTCTTCAGTTACAGTTCAAGGGAATTGAGAATTACGATTCAAGTGAGCTTTTAATCTTATTAACGAAAGTAAGCTAACAATCTGGTGCTGACTTGGTGTTTGAGTCTTAAGCTATAATGTTAAAAATTTCCTTTGCTAATTCTTCTGACGGTTTTCAACTTTTCTTCCCGGCACCTGCCTTGTCAAGAGACGGGTTTGGAGGACTCAGCCCCCACACCCGCCTTCACAGGAAATGTATAGGGGGGGGGGAATGCCCCTTCTCCTATTATCAAGAGGCAGGTGTGAGGGACTTCCCTCACCATCGTCATCCAGGAGGCAGTGGCGAGTCATCCTCCACATCCTCCCGTCATGAGGCTGTTGGAATCTTCTCGCTCCCAAACCCACATGTCACGTGATGAGCGACATTCGTACCCAACTCATTTCAGGCGGCGGTAATGGGGAGTTTAAAGACTTGTTCCCCCATACCCACCTTATCAGGGGGCTATCTTAATTTTAAGCTCTAAGAAAAAATTTCATTTGGGCTGAGTTTCATTAAAATTCAGCAAGCAAAATATGCCAAGGGGCGCCGCCCCAAGTACAAATTTTGGAACTTTTTCAGATTGGTATAAAACGCTATATAACGATTCACTAAACAGTGCAACTAAAAATCCACACATCGAGGCGTTGATCCGCAAATCAATATTTTGGGAAGCTGTACAAGTTTCTGAAATCAGTTAAAAAAAAAAAAAAAATTTAAAGTCACTCATCACTAACCAAAAATTATTTTCCTCCTCCCCATCCATTAAAAATTTTGGAATACCGTATTCCCGAAAACCTGAATCTGGATACAAAAAATCAGTGATAACGTAGTTGCACTGGCTTTCATGGAGGACAATTAGATATACCCACATCTTTAAAAAAAAATCGTTAGGACTGAACACTAGTGGTTGCGTTAATGAATTTCGTGCAATAAATGAAAAAGCATAAACTAGAAAAATAACAATTACAATTTGACCCAGCTTTTAGGAATTTTTTCTCTTTGCACACAATTTACGGTTTCTATTTAATGAAAGGGTATATGTATATAGTTATGGAAAAAAATTCTTTATGCTAAATGAAACCAAAAGACCATCTATCAGTAAGCTTTATACTAGCATAATAACCAAGCATTGCCGAAACACTGCCTAGTCTAGTTGGGAAAAGTTTCGAAAATATATTTTCGATAGATATAAAGAGTTATCCTGCAGCCAGCTTACCAAAAGAGAAGCATCTCAATGCTTCAGACTGACTTTTTTCAGCTTTGCTGAACTTCGTATTTAAATTAAGCTGGAAGTTGAAGTACAGAGCTTTAAGTAGTACTTACGATATTTACCGAAAAATTTGACAGTAGTCACAGCGCCCATAGATAAGATACACTAAAAATATCAGCAGACTAAAACCAACGAGCACATCACATACCATCATACTAAGTTTAAATAACCAACATTAATTAAACCCAACCATTGCATTATTAATATCAAAAAATGCTAAATATAAAGCATAAAATTATCCGGAGCAGAGTAGCCATGGTACACCCCCTCCCCATACACAATTTTTAAATTAATGCTACATAATCCCAAACCAGATCCTGGGTATCAGGAAGTCTGTGAAGTTAGGCTGTGCTGCTTTTCATGGAGGCTGTTACAGAAAAAAAATACTAAATTTTAGGAATTTCACTATTCAGAATTGTCAGTAAACTTGACGCGGCTCTTAGACCTCTCTTCAGTATAATAACCTATGACATGTCAAGATGTCTTGTTAATGAAAACCAGATACCAGATATATTAAGCAAATTTTATACATTTTAATAGATAATTGAACAGATATAAATTCAGATATACTCCTGTAAACTTTTTTGAAGCCTAGTTCTTAGGTTTTTAGTGTATCTCTATGTTCTTGCACTACCGTCCACAGTATGGATATGGGGTGCACAAACTAGCCACTTCGGTGGCAAAATCTAAGTCTAATCTAATACTCTTCTACACTAAGGTACCAACCAGCTCAGTACAATTTTCACGATTGGAAACTTTACGGAGCTGAAGCGTTACACTTTACTAAAGTCATCAGTGGAAACCTTACTCCGTTTTAGTCTCTCATCTAAGAACTCTGAAAAATCTCTTCAGGGTATGACAAGATATTAACTAGTATGTACTGTAAATGGCATAGAAGCTGAAGAATGAGACTTGTGGAAAGATTTGGGGATTTTTGAGAGAAGTTTCGTTAGCCAGTGGCTTCTTCAGTCCAATATAGAGAAGAACGGTGGAAGAATAGTAATAATTTGAGGTAATCAGTCCCTCAGTATGGAGTGTGTTCAGTCTATCAGTTACTGTAGCCTTGCTACAGTAACGGTCAGAGGTTCTTACAGAGCCAGCAGCTTAAGACTTTCAGTTTAAAAATCCGCCAATTTACAACAAAGTCATTCATAAAATGTATTAACAGTTTACTTTTTAACTACAGTTCAGATTACTCATATAATTCTCCATGCTAAAAGAAAAAAGTAAATTTGCATTATCGTTGAACTAGTATAGGCTACGTATAATTTAAAATAGCATACACCAAAATTACGCCTCACTAATTTCCTGTCTTACCATTGTGTGTAAAGCAACCAACACGGTGACTCGAGCGTTTAAAAATTCATTGTCACTATACCAGCAAAATAAGCTAATTAAGGCATAAAACGTCAAGTCTACAAAGCTGTACTTGCCTGTACCTCACAAAGCTGTACTTACCTGTACCTCATGTCGTACTTTTCTATTAAATCTTAGGCAAGAAAAAAATTGGACAGATTACTTAAGACAAAACTTGCATAAAATCTAGAAGTCACTGCCTAACTAGCAGTTTACAAGGTTAAATTCATTTTAACCAATACTGGGAAGATGAACACACCCACCTACAGCGCCAGTCGGGACAACATTCTCCTTCTGGGAGAATTTTCTGACAGCTGGGATGAGGCGCATCGGTCTTCTTGCAAGTTTCTCTAATAGTCTGCGTCCCATTCTTCGTGCAAAAGTTAGTTGTGCAAGAGTCGCTCTTCCAGAATTCATATAACCGTCGAGACTTGCCATTATCGACACACGAACTGAAAGATTATAAATTCAAAATGCAACTTTTCGAAGAAATTTACATTTTACCGAAGATACGAGAAAGGTATCAAAGATCTACAGCTTCATTAATGTATCTAGGTTTTCTTTTAGCAAGTCTAGACAATTTGGTTTACCATCCCTCACCTGCAATTCCATTTCCTGCAGCACTCTCCTACTGGTATGTATTCAGTACATGTAGGATGGGGACGAAGATCTGTACACAGTACTCGTTCGAAGGTTATTCCCTCATCGGTACATTTGAGTAGTAAACAAGGATCTTCCGTGCTCCAGGTATGGCCAATTTCATGCAAGTCTCCAGATTTATCAAAACACCCCCTAAAAAATGAAAAAAAAAAAAAAAAGTAACTCCGAGTAACACACGATACAAAATTTTTCCACTTGCTAATACATTTACCTGCACTTCCACTGAGGACAACATTGTTGAGGTGGGGTGTATTGGAGGCAGGTGTGATGTGGTGCAGGTTCCAACTCACAGTCTTCTCTTGTAGTCTGTATTCCATTCCATGTACAAGAATGTGTAGTACAGAAGTCAGACGTCCACTTACTTAGAAATGGATGATAACCAGACTGATCGACACAACCACTGCAATATGAAGCTTATTACTCTCTTGTACGAAAGATATCCAAAGAAATTATTTTGGCATTCCAAAATCCCATTAATTTCAATTCACAGACTAACAATGGTATGTAATTTTAATTTTGGACAATTTTCTGTATAGCTTATGACTACTTTCATATACCACAGCAAGTGGAGGTGAATTTATTCTATTGCCTTTGATATTTTCAGAGCACTTTGCCGTATGCCTGAAGGGGATCAACGCCCCCGCGGCCCGGTCCATGAGCACTCATGGCAGTAACAATCTATATACAACAAGAGATAAAATTAAATAAAAGCCAAGAATCAACGCTGAAATGCTATCATACCAAGTTGAAATAACCAGCATCAATCAGAATTTAGGTTACAGCATTTCTTTAACTGTTCCAGTTACTGTATCGCCTAAGATAAATATATTTTTAGGATAAAACTTAGATATGTATGCCTAACAAGCTTTTAAAATTTCCTGGAAGAAACAAATTTGAAAGGAAGAATCATACATTTTTGTTATTTAGGATGAGAGCTTCATATTTTGAGCTAAATAAAAGTGTTATCAAGGCTACAAATGCTTTTTTCCATGATAGTTAAAACTATAAACCACATTTAAATTTAAAACAGTTTCATGTAGAACTACGTAAACGAACCTGCAATTCCATTTAGGACAACATTCTCCTGGGGAAGTGTAGTTGTAACATCCAGCATGAGGTTGGTCTTGTTTCTCACAGACCAAAAGTTTCTCAGATATACCATGTGGAGTGCAGGTGAAGACAAGGCAGGGATCAGAGTCTGTCCACTCGTGGCAAAGTTCGTGGTAATTGCCAGCAGCATCGGTACAGCCACTGTGGTACAAGAGATTAAAGTCTGAAATTTAGCCATCACTTATGCAAGAAGCTAAACATGAGCGAGAGGTGTATTGACAACCATGTACTATTTAAAAAAAAAGTATTTGCATTACGAATAATGATAGTCAGCACCTGAGTGAAAACAGCTTATTCAAGAAAGGAAGACTGTCCAATCAACAGCACTTCACAGAAGTGCTCCCAAATTTTGAAAGACCTTGTACTAAGAGCACCCTTACCTGCAGTGCCACCGTGGACAACATTCATTCTCCTGTGTAATTTCAGTACAACTATGGTGCACTGGAGGGGGCAAGAAACAGTCTTCTATCAGAGTTATCATCCCATTCTGTGTACACGTGTGGTATGTACAGGGAGTAGAATGCCAAGAACTTCCCAGCTCGTGATGCTCTCCAGCATCGTCAATGCACCCACTGAAAGATTCCCGGGAAAGTATTTAACACAGGCAGTTCCAGAGTTAGGGCGACCCCAAGAACAATTTATTATATTCACCACTATTCATCCAAAAGTCGTCTTTCCAGAAGTCAGACATTACAATTTAATTTTGAGATTAAAAAGTTAATCCGCCCCGATTATTATTATTATAATCACAGGGAAGCGCTAAACCCGTAGGGTTACACAGCGCATGTGGGGGATGGAATCAATTCAGGCTCAATTCAGGGAACTGGAGCAGATCCAATTCCCTAGATCAAGAGCCCCTCACCAGCATCAAGGAACCTCCCTTGAGAGGTAATCCGCCCCGAGCTGTTATAATATTAAATCTCAGCGTAAACAGCTTTATATCCAAATAAACAATACAAAGCTCTTAAAACTAGTAACAATATTAGAAACTAAATATTAGAACAGTGGGGGGATGCTAAGATCTTGATAAGTAAGACCTACGTGCAACAGTTAGGTATCTTTATTCCGAAACGTTTCGCCTACACAGTAGGCTTCTTCAATCAAGTACAGAGGAGGCAGCAGAAGCAGTAGAAATGTAAAGACATTGTAATTATTCCATCATCCTCAAAGACGTAGTTTTTGCTCCATAGTCTGGAACATTGTTCCAGACTAGTCCAGACATTGTTCTAGACTATAGAGCAAAACTTCTCCAGGCTGAGGGACTGACCACCTCGAAACGAGTCTTCATGAGTGATGGACTGATTACATCGTCTTTATATCTCTACTGCTTCTGCTGCCTCTGTACTCGACTGAAGAAGCCTACTGTGTAGGCGAAACTTTTCGGAAAAAAGATACATAACTGTTGCATGTGTGTTAACTTGTCAGTATTTTACACCATTATCATATTTACAACATATCTTATACCAAGACTAGAACCAAGGGACACTCACAAGGAACAGTTCCACTGAGGACAGCAACGTCCTGGATTCTCTACACAAAACTTATTGGGTGGGAGAGGACAAGACTCTGGAGTCTTCGAGCAAGACACTTCACTGCCATTACACACACACGTGTGACACTCATCAGGAGACCACATGGCACCTTCAGCTTGCACCAGACCAGTGTCATCAACGCAGTAGTAGTTTAGGCAATCTCCACACGAGGCAAATCCTAATAGGAAATTGAAGTGATTAGAATCTTGCCAGAACCGTAACGGGTTTTACCTTGAAAACAAAGATGTATTTATAGGAATATATCAAATACAAAGATTGTATGTCACTAGTTGAAAGTGAAGTTAATCAAATTTGATGGTATCGTGTGTTCATTTGACCAAAAACATTCTAGCTAAGGCACCCCGTGAAAAGAAAATGTATACAAGGATGTGCGAATTCTATTAAATTTTAATTAAAAAAGCATTATCTAGGTTTAGTGATTTTATAATCTAGTATCAATCTTAAACTCCGGAATCCTGCAAAACATTGAATTCGTAAATTTAATATGGATGAGTTGTATTAAAAATGATTAACATTAAATTTTAATGATTAAATACCTAACATTTAGAAAATTCTGTTACTTAACCGAAGATTCTAGGACCAGGTTTTAAAAAGCTAGAGAAAAGTAGCATTCGAAGTCCATACAAAGAAATAGTTACTAATTGATACGCTAATTGCAGTTATGCAGAGTTTAATCAAATTGGGTTATTACAAAGTCTTTACCTTTGCAGAAGTGCGATTGTAGCTTAACAGGAACAATTGCTGCAGTAAGGTCATTCCCTGGAGATGCATGCACGGCGGCACACATTAGCTGCATACACATCTCTGGCAACTCTTCAACTACACTTCCCCACTTAAATACCATACCATTGTAGCAGCAACCTATTTTAAGAAAATTTAACGAGGAAATACCAGGTTCGTTTAACATTCCAATTAATCTCGCAAGAGGAAAATAATTTATGAAAGTTGCAGTCCAGAGTCTGTCTAGAAAAGGTGTATTTAGTGTTCAGTGGAATGTGTGAAATGGAACAAATCTTAAGAATTTATAGGTTTAAGAAAATACTTCACAGAGTTAGTGGCAGGAAAAGTAAGTGCTAACTGGAGTTCAGCGAAGAGAAGCCTTTGTAACTTATCACCTACCCACCTACTCAACTCGCGTACCTACTGCTCCCAGGCGATCCAGGAAGTTGGAGTCACCAGTAAAGGAGCTCAACACCGAATCAATCTAGCGAGATCAGTAAATGCCTTGGCCATATTAGTAAACACATAGAAAGGCTGATTCTGGGACTCAAACATGAGACATCACTGGTATGTCTGCAGAAAGTTGCCCACTAGGAAGTTCACTATCATAAAATCCCACTGTGGAGTAGACCACAACACTGCAGCTGTTGGGAGAGCCAGTGATAATGTCCCTCTCCTTAACCTACAATAGCAGAAGTTAATGGAAGGGAGGGAAGGGGGGAACGCTACTTAAGGCTTATAGAGGGGATGGATGTTGAGTTCTTAAGCTCGCTAAAGTGACCCAGCATCCAACAGGAACAGGGGATAAGAATTACGATAAACGTCAAACAATACAGATTAAACAGCTAAGTGGGTTACGGCAAACACTCTAGGTTCACTATTCTTGAAGATTTGGGAGAGATGTCATCCCGATAAACATTTCGGCTTCCACATTCTCTAATTACATTAACATTCAGCCTTGGTTAGCCAACAACTAGTCAGTTATTCAGTATTGTTTCCCGGTTTTCCCACGGCCATATCTAATCTGGTAATCTTAAAACATTGTTTCCTAGCAATTTTGTTTACAGTTTGTATTATGCTGGACTAACGCAACTGCCTTAACACTGATTTACTAATGAACCCGCTCAAAAATCTTCCAGATTACCTCAAGGCAACGGACCTGCCTAACCTAGACAGTAACATCTGCCCTTGAAAAGATTTATCTCGACTAAAATACCTATAAAAAAAAAAAAGTTAGAGAAATCGAGCAATGCAATAGGACTTTCCTTCAAATGAACATTTTACATAGTGAATGTGAATAGTAAGTAGTCTAAGTCGGACCGAAACGTCGTCATAAGCTTCTATCTGCGGGTTATTTGTGTATTGTTCCAATTATGATATTGTGCCTTTTTCTTCTTTAATGGGTGGTAAAGTAGGGAGTGGATCCCATCCTTAGTGGTGGCAGTAGTACACTTTACAGTTACATGAAGGAAAAATTAGTTTTAACCCTCCGTTTAGATTAGAGGTTCCAAACCTGGTGGCGAACGAAACCCCAGGGGGGGGGTCAGAAATGCCATTTCATGGAGGGGTGCGACAAAGTCCTAATGAAAAGCACAATTCAGTTTATTTTTCCAAAAACTTTTCTAATTGCTCAAGTTTATATTTAAATTTTATGCAGTGAATTAAAAGCTTATTTCTCGAATTCGACAATAATCAAACATTTCCCAGGGGTGCTGGGCAGAGAAAAAAGTTGCGGACCCCTGGTTTAAAGTTTAATGATGACTTTCTCAAATATCAAGTGGATTGTGCAATGAAGATGTTTATGTTTTATGCGCATGGGCGGATTTATTTATTCGTAGGTAAGAATGTAGTAATCCAACCTAGATTTATAGCAAAATTCTAGCCTAAGGTTGGTCAAGTCAATTTAAAAACAAAAAAAAATGGTCCCCCAAGAACATCTGCCTCCATTTTATAACCTGAAATGTGATAATTTATAAACCTATATCCTAAACTCTCTCGAGAAAAAAGAAACTCAGGAACCAGAAATTAAAACAATCCTCATTTCGACTTTAAAATAAATTAAGACTTTTTATACAAATTCAAGTATACAACAGGCCTTTAAAAAAAAAAATAATGCGACCAATTTTAAAAAAAAATCCTTGTTGATAATACCAAAACGTTGTTGCCTAAAATGTATATAGAGAATTTAAATAAACACTGATATAAGCAATGTTAGGTTTTATATTTCGTGCCAGACTTTATTAACTTGTACACTTACCATAATCAGGGAACGACGCACCAGAGTGAGAAAAGTCCGAACAAATCATCAGGAGAAGACCCCAAACACGAAGCAACCTCACCAACTCTCTCATAATGATTCAGCTTTGATTAACACTAGCTAAATACTTGGAAAATGCTGCATGTCACTAAATCAGAACAGCGGAGTAGAGCGAGAACCTCCTGCAAGAGCTGGGACAGAACTGGAAGCTCGACGGTGTTACAGTCAGTGAACCACTCGATCGCATGACTCGAATCCCAATGTAGCCACTACCACAATGAATATTGCTTCTACCTAACTGAACATTAACAAAAATTAGTTGATACACAGACAAATACACATGGTATATAGCAAACTTCGTGCACTGAGTGTGTGTGTATATATAATATAATATTATTATATATTATATATATTATATATATATATATATTATATATATTATATATATATATATATATATATATATATATATAATATAATATATATATATATAATATAATATGCAAAACAACCACTCTGAAAGAATAGAGAAATTCCAAGCGCTTTCGTGACTACTCACATTGTCAAGTTCCTTGATAATGTGAGTAGTAACGAAAGCGCTTGGAATTTCTCTATTCTTTCAGAGTGGTTGTTTTGCATATTTTGAAATCACCTGTTTACTGTGATCTTATTGCATAATATAATATATATATATATATATATATAATATAAATATAATATAATATATATATAATATATATAAATATAAAATAATATATAATATAATATAATATATATATAATATAATATATATATAATTTATAATATATATATAATATAATATATATATAATATAATATAATTATATATAATATATATATATATATATATATAAAATTTATATATATATATATATATATTATATATATTTACACTGAGAATATATTTTAAAGGCTTCATGACTAGCGAGGTACAGGTGATATGAGGCCATCATGACCCCATTGTAGTTCGAAAACTTTCAGCTTTACAAACCAGTCAACACGACATATTCATAGACAAGTGCGCATCTCTTATACATATACAAATAATGTCTTCTTCAATCCCTGTGCTACCAAAAAAAAAAGTATTTTTGAATGTTAATATACAGGTAATATAGGTAATATACGTATAGTCGATAGGTGTTAGGAGTCACACATTAAGTGCACACATGGCATATATATATAACTTTAGCCTCAGTGAACGTTATTCACTCGATAGGCCTTAAACTTGTCAAACTAACATGAACAGACCAATGGAATATTCTCTGTTGACATTGTTTACATAAAAAGTTTGAAGGAATGTTATTTTTTATGTCCTTTGAAGGCACAAGCATTGCATCCAAATGTTTGTGTTATATCGTAAAACACTCACATACTCCATACTGTATACCTTTTAGTTATATAAAGTTTACTATATGTCAAATTTATTATTTCTAAACCAATATATTTGTAGCTGTTGTTGACCGTGTCAAAGGAGGGTGGATGCTTGTGTTATGCCTTGTACATTACCTCTTCAGAGCCGGGGAAGTAGTAGAAGAGAACACTAGATGCTGGCAATGTGTTATTGATCCAAGAAATTGGAGCTACTTTCCTCTACACTTGGATCAAACCTTATTCCTCCTCCCCATTCCCCATACGCTGTATGACCACTTATTATTATTATTATTATTAAAGATTAGCCGGTATTCTCCCGGCCCGGGCCTTTTCCAAGTGGTGGCCCGGCCTTGGCTCCCTCTTTAGGGACTGTCTGAGACCTAAGTCTCCCATGGGAGGAGGCACAAGTACCTCCTCATCTTTGGGACCAACTGTCCCCAGGCCTAGCCACAAGCTAGGCCTCTCTGGTCTGCCATCCCCGACCCAAGGGGGATTTAAAGGGAATAACAGTCTTATGAGCTAAAGGCTCGGGCTCATGCACCTACCCTACCCTAGAAGGGTTAGGCATGGTATCGATGTGTATGACCACTGCAAGTTAAACTCTTCCCATGACAATTATATTTCTTATACAGGATCCACACATCATTTCATGTAAATACTGAACAAGACTTCTAATCAATATAATGACTATCTGTCAGCACGTTGCTGCTTCGAGCATTATCTTTAGTGCAACGTTAGACTTTCAGAAATGATACACACACACAGTATTTGTCAGCATCGACCATTACAACTGATTATTTAGTCTCGTTGCTTTAGGACAGCTAAGCATGCGTTTAAAAATATTTGGATCAGAGGGATATGCGACATTCTCAGTATAGTCTGCATCCAGCTGTTGTGTGTTGTAGTGATGAAGGTTGACTCCGTGTGTTGTGTAGGAGTGATGCAGCTAAGCTCTGTGTTATCTAGATGATAACAAGGCTGAGATAGAATAATTACGTTTAGTGATAAATAACATGCTGGGAAATATATCTCCGGTAATAGGACACTCGTCAAATTGTCAAAGATAATCTATTGAAACTTACCAGATTATTATTATTATAATCAAAAAGAAGCGCTAAGCCACAAGGGCTATACAGCGAAACTTACCAGAGGTTCCGAGCTTCTGCGTGCCAGAGGAAATCACCTTTACGAATCTTTACATAAATCATCATAGATATATAGCAACCTATTGACTATAAAGTAATAATAGTTATTTTTCGCAGGTTTTTTCCGTGTCTGATTTCCCAGTTGTCGGATTACGCCAGTGTCTACACACCGGCTATTAAGAACACAAGAATTAGGAGGATATCGGATTTCTCATTAAGGATTGATTGTCCAAAGCATTAAGAGGAAATGAATGGCTTTTTGGCCA